TTGCAGTCGATGAATAACAATGCGAATACATACAGTAGCGGCGGAACCGGCTGGGACATGTACGGTAGCGGAAGCGGCTTGGGCTACGGTGGTCTGGGTATGTATGGTAGCGGAATGGGCCTGGGCATGTATGGTGGCTGGCCGTATGGCGGCGGTGGTTATTACGGTGGATATTACTAAGTGTACGTGAAACTATTCTGCATTTCCATGCATTTTTATATCAACGAAACCAAATCAATCAGACCTCAAAACGAGACTGTGTCTCTCCACAGCTCTGTTTGTTCCATTTTTTGTTGTTCCGTAATGTAAATTGCAATGTGTGAAAGATAAGAACCTTAAAAAATAATTTCGCAGCTTTGGCCGTCTGCATCCCCGGAAACGTAAAATCAAATCTGTTGCTTTTTTGTATAATCGCTCAAGTACGCGTGTGGTTTTATTCATTTCATGAATGTGCTAAATTTTAAATTTTCATGAATTTTACTTAAATTGTAATAAATTTTTAAGAATGCGCATTTAAGAACGCAGCCAACTTTTTTGCAATTTATCGTTCTAAATTCAGAGGCAGTTAGTAAGAACTGAATCATTTTCAGTGAAAAAAAAAGTTGTAAAAATGAATGTGTATATTTCTTAAAAAAAAGAAGTATCTTTTATCGTCGAATCTGACTGTGTCGGTTCCAACCGAATTAAATAAATACTCGCACCCATCGAGCTAAAATTGCTAGGAGTATCTGCAGAAATACTTCTAAAATAAACTATTGGTACAATGCCTCTGACTAAAAATATCAGGAACACGAAGACTACTCGGACAGTCGGTGTGGGTATTCCACGCTAATGGGGTTAGTAAAATGCTCCTAGACGACGAGTACAGCTATGCCGAGTTCATCAGTCCTGACAGAAATCTCACCTAAAAAAACTTATTGTTTTTTTAAAAAAAAGCTGAAAATTTATTGTCTGTGTCACATTTATACCGAGATGTACGCTTTAATGTTTTATCGTAATTTTAATTTTAAATGATGTTTGTTTATGTAAAAAGTACGGGTTTGAAAGTAACGGAATAAAAAGAAATGTGAATAAGTTAAATCGGAACAAAAACCTGGATAGGAATGTTTCGGTCTATCAATTCACAGACATTCCTGTTCAGTGCTGCAACTGGACCTCGTCAGTGTGACGGTTACAGCAAAAATAACATGCAGTCTGTCAAAAAGAAAAAGGAAAATTTAGATAATGTAAAAGGTTAAAGCAAACGGTAAAAGTCCATTTAGGAAAACAATACCTCCATCATTATGAATATTGAACCGAAGTTGTACCTGTAAAATTAATAAAATAAAAGTGGAACTTGAATCGGAAGCAGAGGTACGAGAATCGGACAAATCTAGTTAAAATTTATGTGGAAAAACTATAGCATATATTAAAAAACCATAAACATGATCGACTGCCGAAGATCGGGAACGCTAGCACGCTAAATAAGGCAAATAAAGAAGATGAAGAGCGGGTAGTGGTGCTGCGGTAGGGATCAGAAAAAAGAAAAAAAGGGAGTCGATAAAGTAGATAGATAATAATAAGGCAAGAAAAAGGAAGGGCTAAAAAACAGAAAGTTTATTTAAAATATTACT